TTTGCAATTATTGCCATTAACTGCCACCGGGTCATACCCAATTGCAGTTCTAATAAATGTAAATGTAATAGTTATTTGATAGCGATGTAAATCGTTTACTTGGAGATTAAAAACCTTTTCTAATATTTTCAAAAAAAGCCAAGTCTATCAAAAAAAGCGAAAGATAACTGTCAAGGAAATTGTTGTTAAGGAAGTAAATTGTTGGAAGAATACCTCTCTACAATTCTGAAAAAACCTTTATTGAAAATTTGTTTCCAACATCAATTGCATTGTATTTATTTTTGTTTGATATTCTACAAGTACGAAGTTACATTTATACATTTTTTAACAAATAAACACGTTTCATTTACAACTTTCCTTCTTAATGAAAAGGATAGGAAAAGTGTGGGAATTAACATGCGAGAGTTCTAGCACGGTTACGATAGTAATAATATTATAATATAAACTACGCTATTAAATAGGTGGATAAAATGGGGTTTGGAAGTAATAAAACGTTTAGTGTAATGAAAATCAAAGTCAATGAGAGATCCTAAATAACACTTACAATTGTGTGTGATTGGAAGTAAACCCTCTCATCGTGCAACTGGATCGCCAGCCAGCTGTGAGTGCCAGAGCATGGGGTGACATTTCACAGCGTCGCATTCCCTTTGCGACGGAATTCCTGGGAAAGGACTGGAAGCCATTGAAAGATAGCGGCTAGCTACGTGCACAAATCTTCCCTCGAGAGGTACTGAGAAGCTCGAGCGATTTTAAACATATCTGAAAGTACAGTGGGCTAAAGACTTCAGAAGTGACTCAATCACTCCGTGCACTTTACCCACAGATTAAAGAAAGATCTCCTGTTTCAATTTTACAGTAGCAGTTGGAAGTAAAGTAGCAGCGTTCACTTCGTAAGCAAAATTGCTATGGAACTCTTGCAATTTTTTCGAAAATTTAGACAATCCAAGGCAAATGAGACAGTGCGAGTTATGTGTTTGTTTATTTACGGGAACAATAATTTTCCACTTTTTCGATATCAGGGCTCAATAAAATGAGATTTTCTTTGGGACAATCACCGTTATTTGACGCATATCAACAAAACTTTCTCTACACTAGGCAAGTAGTATGCCAGCAATGAAAATGAGATAAGCTGAAGAAAAATCTTGATGTTTCGGTTTCAAATATAGTATTATCAAAAATATCGTAATTTTGATATAGGATTATTAACAGTTCTTTCAATAGATTGAAATAGAAAACACTTGAAATCATTTTTAGAGATATCACCCAGATATTATCCTATAAGTTTAATAAATTGGAAAGTCGAAAACGTTAAAACAATACTACTAACGGCCTTCCATAACGAGTAGCTGTGGAGGGTGAATGACCACCTGCCTCGCGAAGACCGAAATACCTCTCTTTGAAAGCGAAACTTTCTCCTCTCCACATCACTACAACGTCCAAGGTGGAAGGCATTCATTCCGCTCGGAATCCCGTAAGTTTGAGTAACATTTTACTTCTGTTTACGTCACCCCTTTCATTACGGCAACGAAGCATAAGAGAGCGGCGATCACTTCGTAAGTGAGACCGCTAGCAGCCACTTGTGAAGAGGAGCATCTGCTGAAATTACGCACACGACATCTCATGAGTGGAGACGTCGAGAGTGCACCGACATGTTATACGACTTAATAGTTTTCATCCTCTTGATGGTAAGTTGTTAGTGCTGCAAGTGATACATTACTTTCTCGTATACTATACGTTTCTGTTTGAAAAGTGCTTGTTTTTCAAGAAAAACCTTCTTTAAATATTACATAAGATCGTAAATTACCATAAGTTGAATCCAGAAACAATATAACATGTTATTTTTCCATTATATATATGTGTGTGTGTGTGTGGATGTAGATATGTGTGAGTGCGCGTGTGCGTGCGTGTGTGTGTGTGTGTGTGTGTGTGTACATGTGGATTTTTGAAGTTATAACTGAAATTTTAGTATGGCAGAAATTACAATTTCTGACATTGTAAATACATATATATTTCAACTAGTGTACCGTGCAAGAACTCTCGCATGTTAAAGTCCATTGTCTTCCCTATCTTTCCTTTTCTATATTAATAGGGGAAGTTGTTAACGAAACGACACACCTATCTGGCCTGTCTCGAAGCTCTACAATTTTGAAAAAAATATTTAATTGTTGAGGGTACTTCACAAAGACCCTCTAAAACATTTGAAAAATGTTCTCAAAAATGGATCTACGTCTTTTTAAAAAAACTGGTGAGAATAGAGTGAAATATTCTTATAAAGATGGCATAGGAAAAACTTTCACGCATGGTTCTGAATGTTTGAAAATTACAAAGGTTTGAGTATTTTCCGGAGTGTACCTATAATCACAATGTTGAAGATAGCGAAGGTAGCGATTCAAGTGAACCGGAATGTCTGAACTGGAGCGTCCCGTCTTGTGCTCCAGGGCCGCGCGTGGTGCCTGGCGGGGCCCTCAGTGCAGGTGCGAGAGGGCTTGCTGCGCGGGAAGGAGGTGGTGTCGACGCTGGGGCTCAACTACTACAGCTTCCAGGGCGTCCCCTACGCCACGCCGCCTCTGGGCGCGCTGCGCTTCAAGGTGAGTACTGAGAGGCGTCACACGGCACGCGCCGCCGGCACATGTTGTCACTATATGGATAATTCGTGACTTGGTCAAGTGTAATCCGTGAATGTAATCCCAAGTAGTAACAGCTTGAAAGCTGGAGAATATAATAAAGATAAAACTAAAATTTTTGACCAATATATCAGACAAACATTTATTATTTTATTTTTGGTCATCGATACAATTCAAAATATACAATTCAAAAGAAACAAATAATTTAAATTACAAAATTAAATTTATCAAAATTTTATTGAAGAAAACTAAAAGAATTAGAATGCTGTATTATTTTGGATTTAAGACGAACACTTTCTTCAAATAAGCTCCCAGTCATATCGTCTTTTTAAATTTTCGGTTGATGGCAAAAAATAGTTCATAAAAATTTGCTACACTTTTGTGGCAAATAAAACAGATATTGTTATCCGGGATTTGAAGAAAAAAATGTCTTCTTGTCGATTTTGCTGTGCCGTGCGATCAAAACGTGTCGTAACCAAAGATAGAGAAACTTCTTATATATGTTTTGAAATCGAGATTAGACGAATGTGGGGCGTAATCGTAAAAGCACACAAGTATAGAAAATAATATAAAAAGTTTGACTTTTACTTTAAGTATTCTTTTGGTTATAAAAGCTATTCAAAAGATCTACATCTGCTTATATATTCTTTAAAAATTTCCACCGAGCTGCTCCTCAAATTTTTCAACACTACATTAAATAGATTCCTAGTTAATGGGCCCACATCCAAGTTAACATTGGAGAGATCCCGTAATTCTAAATCTTCTCTTTAAGTCATATTTGGGAATATTTTGAAAATGTGTTCGCAGGACGCGCTACCAGCGCAACCCTGGGACGGAGTTCGAAATGCCACAAGACAAGGCTGCAAGTGCCCTCAACTGGTCGAGGAGACACAGACGGCAGAAGGCTGCGAGGACTGTCTCTTGCTCAATGTGTACACTCCCAAGCTGCCTCAGTCGGGCTCCGACCCCCTGCCCGTCATGTTCTGGATCCACGGCGGACGCTTCGTGTGGGGATCCGGCAACGACGACAGCTACGGCCCTGACTACCTCATTTCCGAGGGGGTGGTGCTGGTCACCATCAACTACCGGCTGAGCTGTTTGGGTTGGTAGTCTACAGTCTTCTCTGTTCTGTTTTCTCTTTTTCTTTCCTTTGAGTTGACTCAGTGCCGATGCCGCTGCCGCCAGGTCCCGCGCCCAGCGGTGGCGGGTTTCCAACATTCGCTACATACGTGGGTCGAGTTTAGCCGCTGCCTGGAGGAGAATTCTAATGAGCAGCTGCTCTGATCGGTATTTTCCATGGTTTCTCCGAACAATACCAAGTGAATGACTGACCAGTACCATAACAAACGAGACGATTCGTGCGCGGTCATTTCTGCGTCAACATTGAACCCTTGAGCCACTTAACTCACATCCTCTACGATGTATGTCAGAAGTCCATCCGGGACCTCAGAGCATGTCGTTGGGGCTGAGTTTCGCTCCGAACCAGCTTTGCCGCTATCTCAACAACGTCTACAACTGGGAGGTCTTAGGGTTCGATTCACAACGATTTCGGATTATTTCCCCGATCAACACCAGGTAAACGCGTGAGCAATACCCCAACAAAAGGCCAAGGACCGCATGCGATCTTTCTTTTCTCTTCCTTATGCTATCCGCACCTCTCACTTACGTACACATTTACATGCACTATACTACCACATACACTGAGAGACAATCAGGGAGCTTAGAACGAGTCGGTGCCTCCCAGGGAGAGATGTGTGTCAATAATACGAATTCTTGTTTTAGGATTTCTGTTCCTGAAGGAGGCAGCTCCTGGAAACGTCGGCCTGAAGGACCAAGTGGCTGCCTTGAGGTGGGTGAACTTGAACATCGCCGCTTTCAACGGCGACCCCAATAGAATCACCATATTTGGTGAGAGCGCCGGCGGAAGTGCAGTGAATTGGCACATGCTCTCTCCCATGACCAGAGGTAATCCAATCTACTCTAATAATTTCCAACTTACGCATTCATTGACAGAAATCTTGTGGCTATGTGAGAGGTGTCATTGTTTCCGTAACATACGCAGACAATGATTAAAATACAAAAATAATTAACGTTTTCGATTTTAAATGAAAAATATAAATATTTAATTATGTTAATTATTACTTTTTCATACTTGATATTCTCATACACAGTGCGTCACTGCTTACAACTCGTCTATCTGCGCTGACGAAGGTTCAGTATTTATGGATGCCGTTTGAGAACAGCACATGTTTGTAGCTACAGAACCCCATATTCCACACAGAGGACTGCAGCATTTGAAACCCAGTAGTGTACATGTATCTAATGGTGAAATGGGGTTCACGGGAGGCGGGTCTCTCGCGTGGCACCAATAACCTAAATTGTTTTACTTTCACGCTTTACTCCGTAAGTGATAAAGGGAAAGAATTGTCATGCTGCAGAGCGAAGTGGCAATTTTTCGACAGAAAAAACTTGTGGATTGAATACAAACGGACATGGGTATGCAAACGCAAATCATATTAGGTACTAAATCGTAACTTTTTCATTCTTTGGAAATTAGAAAGTGATGGGGGAAGGCGGTCGCCCGAGGCAAAGGAGAGGGAAGAATCGCGTATGCATATTGACCTATAACATCTACCTAACGAACCGGGTAATAATTTGCTGCTGGTTGGCATTTTTATTCAGCAAATAACGTCGTGTAAGTGCGCGTTAAGTAGGGCGAAATATGAAGGCGCAGCGACAAAACAAAAAAGACGTCGTGGACGTTGGACTTTTCTTTATCCAGGATTATCCAGGATTTATATAAGATTTATCTATAAAGTCTTGAAGGCGCGAAGACACGAAGTAAGCAACGAACACTTAAATTGATTTGTACGAGAAAATATTATGATTGAGAACGATGTCAATATAAATCGAGCTAATTAGGCAATGTTAGTAACTGAATTTCAATAAATATTATATTTGTTATTTTAAAACGAGGGTGATAATTTCTATTTAATTGCAAACAATCAAAGAACTTCTTAGTCAATGAGGAACTTCCAGAAATCGCTGATCTGTATGGACAGCCTGTCTGTATATGACAGGTAAACTATACTCCGTCGTATGTTCATTCCCACAGGTAATAAAATACCTGACACAGACTTTCTCGTATTAGTTTTCCATTTTCTTTGGTCGCGGCTGGCTATTCAGACTTGTCATCTACTCTTCCCAGCTGCCATCTGTCGCTGCATTTTTTGACAAGTACATATATTTATTTTTATGACGACGTTTTATTTTGGCAAGTACATTTTTTGACATTTTCTTAACTTTACGGTTTCCTCATAGTAGAACGGAAATATTATTTTAAGAATATTAAATAACAGTAAAACAGCGTTCTAAATGGCTTGGTAGAAATGTGCTTGTTAATGTTGCGAGAGATCTTAAAAAATACAAAAAATACAAAAAATACTCCAAAACTAAATTTGTTATATTAAAGAGTACAACTAGCACTATCCGTTCGAAAAGTTTGAAGAAATAATTTGAAATCGTTTATGAGAAAATGGCGTTTGAACGCTTCTGAAAATGCGGAATTATGAGCCAGTTCTCACAGAAACCTGTTGAGTATTCGAAAAACGGTATATGATGAGCGAAGACGAAATTGTTACTTAGAGCTGAGAGAGGTTCCAATGATAAAAGTCCTAAACGATGAAGTAGGAAATCCGTACCAAAACAGATGTATCCGTAAGATAATCTCACTGGGGACCGTAGTTTATCTCTTCCTAATTTGAATGTGACAGTTAACATGCATTACGTAACTCTGCTATAACCAGTTTAATACTTCCTTATTATCCAATGGATTTGTCGCTGGTGTGTGCAGGTCTGTTCCACGGCGCCATTTGCGAGAGCGGCGCCATCTTGTGGGACATGCAGTGGAAGCCCTACGAGACGTCGCTAAACCTCGCGCGGGCAGTGGGCTGCTTCGTGGGCGACGACGCTGAGGTGCTCGAGTGCTTGCGCCACGTCGACCCCATCGAGTTGGTTTTGGCCGCGAGATTCGATGCGCCGCTGCCCAGGGTGAGGAGCACAGGGGGAAATTGAATGTGGCAATAGTCGCCATCAGGCATTTTGATTGTGGATGCATTGGAATTATAATACTTCTCTGAGAGTATTTAGCTGAGATTAATTGATCTTTGACTAATTAGTCAGATAATGAAATTAAACTATTTTGTTGTGGGGAGTCATAAATAAAAATATTTAACATTTTAATTTGCTCGATATTTACGAACCAAAGCAGTGATTCGACCTCTACATAACAGACAATATGTATTATCTTAAAAACAACAAAACAATTTATTTATTGCAATTACTATTAACAGTAACATTCCAATTGAAGGGGTTAGTTTTCACGAAGATTGTGAGAAAAATTGAATCCAATTTTATGTAGAATTAATCCGACTTTTGACAGCTCGCTGTTTTCCCAGGCCGGAGCCCTGTTGTTCATTATTCGCGGTTATGGGAAACATGTAGCGCGCATGACATATTCCCAATTCCTTCCCAGTTTATTTAGTTGAGATTTTTTTCTTCACACAGATACAGAGAGTGAGAAGATTTATATTATGAAACCTACAACTTAATTTTTGCCCACACATTTAATTTATAAATATTTGATATCAATTGAAATTATTTGTATTAGAAAGCTATATCTTCATATTTTCTCAGTCTGGAAACACAGGATTATAAATTTAGGTAAATTTTTGAACCAGAGGCGACAAAAGTATTTTTAGTATTTTCGTGCGCTGAATTCAAGTTCGTAAGTTGTTTCTCCCCATCAGGTCAGGTGTCTTTGATTTCTCATGTTGGCATTATTGAGGTCTCACGACTGTTCATCGCGTCATTCGTATTCGAGGTGTATTTTCATGTTTCTAAACCGAAGGTGAGTGAAGTATGCTAAGAAACTCGTGTAAAATCAATGCAGAGTATTTTGGTTGTTTGTAGCGGGTATATCGTTGGCAAAAAAGGCGAAGTCATAGCAGATTGTTTTGAGAATGCTTATCTGCACTACTTCGGATTAAGTGTCAAACCAAGCTGTACAAATTGTGAAGGGCGAGAGATTCTATTTTCCATTATCATTCTCCCCTATAGGCATGTGACTGTTAAAGGCAATAGCTACTGTACGAGCCGCCATTTATTGTTGCATTCCAGGATCGCGACCGGATCATGACGTTTACCTTCAATCCTGTGGTGGAGGAGCTGCAAGTGCCTGAGGTGGAGACTTTCATAACGGGAACCCCCGAAGAGCTTCTGAAACATGGCTGCCAACATGACGTTCCTTTCATGACTGGTATAAGCGAAGAAGAATGGATTTTGACCATTGCCAGTAAGCAGTATTAATATCTTTTATTTATTTGAGTTTAAAATTGCAGACATATAGTATCAAAAATAGCAATTTTTGTTTTAATAAAATCTGTGACAAATGTGTAAATTGTGGCGTTCTAAAAATTCGGAATTTTGAGCTCGACTTCACAGAAAAAATGAGAGAGACTTTAAGGCACTAGCTGAAGTACCCCGCCTTACCGGGTATTTATCATAGGTATTACCACGAGTGCTTTGGAAATTGTCGATAAAATACTCGAAGCGAGGAGGGGATTTATCGGAGAATTTTCAAAGCACGAGTGGTATTTAATAGGACTATTCCACGAATGAAACTATGTTAAACAGAGTTCCAAAATGCGGCAAATATTGAAAATAACTGAAAGTGTGTCTTAAATTCAGAGGTTATGTTATAGTACATACGCTGTTTATTGGACATCGGCATAGCGATCGATGTATAATACCACCTCCCAAGATAGATGAGTCACAGTTTATGATTGGCCAGTAGGTAGAAGTGGTAGTTCTGATTGGGACATTTTTTAAGTATAGTTTAACACTAATGGTTTTAATTTCACGAGTGGAACAGTCTTAATAATTTAGATCAGATTATATTAGGTTTATTAAAGTTCGCTTTGAGCTAGTGTTCGGTGGCAAACATGATAACAATTAAAACTAGAATTACAAAACATTTTCCACATTTACAATTAGATTTACTATTAGAATTAGAGGTGGATATCATAGTTCCAATTTATTTCTAGCTAACTCTAAATTCGTTTCTAGTTTGCGTAACACTTCACTACACTATACTGCACTACACTGCACTCCCCTTCACTACACTACATTCCCTTCCGCTCCACTACACTACACTTCACTTCACTTCACTTCAATGTATAAGAGACATGACGATAATAATTATAACAATCACAATATAAGCAATAATAATAACTTAAAAAATTCCCCAAAGCTAATGAGAGTGTTAACAATGATGATAAATTTGTTAGTAATAATATAATAATAATGAAAGTAATAATTATAATAATAATAAAAGTAATAATAATAAAATAATAATAAAGATAAATGTCTCAGTCAGTATTATTCGAGATGATCTAGATGGAATGAAGCATATTTTTAAATTTGGCTACATTAGAAGGAAGAGCCTCTAGTGCTTCTGCAAGTAGTTTGTTCCAATCTACTATAGTGCGATTCACAAAGGAGAACTTGCCTACATCAGTTCTTTGCTTTCTACATCGTATTTTCTAAGGATGGTCTTCTCTGCTTTTATAATCTGATTTCTGTAATCTTTTACCGATATCTGCCCATGCTGTGTCCCCTCTGTATGTCTTATACATTACGCATAAACGCTCCCGTTCCCTTCTCTTAGATAAGGACTCCCGTTCTTCTCGTTCGTCACCAACGCATCCGTGATTTACAATTTTTGAGGCCCGTTTTTGAATTTTATCTAACGCTTCGATTTGTCCTTTTCTGTAGGGGTCCCAGCATGCCGCTCCGTATTCTAAAATTGGACGAACCAGTGTAGTGTATGCTAGGGATCGGGCATTTGGACTATTTTTTAGAATACACATTACAAAGTGCAGCGCTCTTCAGGACAGAAAGAGGAATTCTATCTGTTCCCGGCCTGCGGTGAAGCCTACTTTTATCTATTCTATTGTATACCCGACTCCCATATGGAAATACTCAGTTTTCACTAAAACATTTTCTCACTAAAAAAATATTTATATTATTTGTTACAGAGGTTCCCGTCTCAAAATTTCTCTAACTTTATAACTAAAAATAATAAACTATGCTAAACTAAAATTCTGAAATACACTTACTCTCGTATATTCATTTTGAGGAATTTTATATCTTATGCCAATACTTTGAATCAATTGTCACATTGAAAAACTCACTCTTTTTCTCTATTTTTCTTCTCACATAAGGAAAAGTTCGAAATTAATTTTAATGCCACGTAGTGGCAATTGACAATTGGTTAATATGAGATATTATGGAATTGGATATTATTAAAGTGAATCATAATATGTTTTACTTTCGCTTGTGTTCCCTAGTAAAGCTTAAAACGTATGCTTAATTTACAACTGCTAAACCAATTTCTATATCACGTTGACCATATGTTTGTATTCATACCTTTTTCGACAAGATTCCCATCAGCAAAATTATCTTTTTTTCAAAAATTTCATCTCTTGTATTTTCAAGGTTGTACACTTGAGTTTGTGGTGTTGGAAAATTTTTGGGTTTTCAAAAAGCTTCATTTGAAGACATTTCAAACACATCAAGTCACAAATACCGGGGGTTTACAAATTGCTGAAAATGTGTATATCAACTGCGTGAGAAATCTTTCAATAAATTACATTACTGTAATTTTTGGAAAAAAAATATACCGAAATAAGCTTAACGTCATATTTAAGTGTGCATTATCCGTTAAAAATGTTTGAAAACAAATTGGAACCGTTTTTGATAAAACCGCGTTTGAGGCGGAATTTTGCGGAATTTAGAGCTACTTTTTTTCACAAAAAACAGTTGGATTTTCGAGAAACTTTATATGGCCTTATTTATTGCGCATTTATTGCGCAATAATTATGTAAAAAATGGCAGCTAATGTAATTTTCAACAACGTGCCAGACAAGTAAAAAATACATTTTTGTAATTTTTGACAAAAACAATACAATAGAGCAAACTGATATTTATTCCATATTCTGCTATCAAATACCTTACATCTAAACATACAGCTAAGCAAGGAATATTTTCAGCTATTGCATTTCTTAGTTAATCGGTAAAAATGTAATTGTCTACTTAATTCTTTTGATTTTTTGGAATGCAAATTTCATTGTATTGATAATCTTATGTTTAACAATAAAATCACGTATTCTGTCTTTATTTTTTTATAAATTTTGACAAAATTAGAAATAAGAGAGATAGATTGATAATTACTTGGAATTTTATAGTCTTCTGATTTAAAAATATATACTACTCTGCTGATTTAAAATGATTAGTAAAAACTGCTGTTTCAGTGCTGAGGTTGAAAATATGTTCTCTATAAATAGCTAGGTTGGCAGTGCTAGGTTGGAAATATAATTTACTATATAAGTATACATACTAATAGAATAGATAATTATATAGTAGATAATTGTACTCGAATAGAATATACTACTAGTGTAGAGTAGATAGAACATTTTTTAATACCCGGAGTGATAAAGACGTACTGTAACAGCATATTATTGACATTTGAGAATCGACTTCATCTTCTGAATAATCTTCTGAATAAAATAAATAAACTGAGACGTTTTGTATCAGTAAGTCACAGCTTTATTTTTGCCCAGCCGGGAATCGAACCAGGTACCGCTTCACAGAGAGCTAAGCACACGGTTTCTCTTTTTCTTTACAGTGAACCGCACCGTTTTCTCGAGCGAGCCCAATCTCAGGGCGTTGGACTCGGACTGGAGGAAGTACATATTCCCGGAAACTCACATCCGAGACGACAGCGACCGAGTTCCCGAAGCCATGGACGAACTCCGAAATTTCTTCCTGGGTGGACAACCGTTGACCTATGGCAACATAGACGGATATCAAGCCGTAAGAAACCCAGAATTCATTCTACACGTTATACGACACAAATTATATCGTAATTTTTACATGGATATCGGAGTTTGACATTTCCTTGTGATCAAAACGTTTGCATTTCATTTGTACTTTACTCATTTATCTAAAGTATCACGAAGAAATAAAGAAACTGTTAATTAACATTTTTAACATTGCAATTAAACTAAAATATTTAGCTCAACATTGTAACGCCGCAAATCACAATCAGTTCGATGTTACAATAACATTTCACTATCTTTTGTTCCTATTTGATTGGCTCTCAATTTGATGCACTGGGAATAAGTTTTGAAAATATTTTTAGTATTTTGTCTTAGTACAATATATTTTAATACAAAGCAATGATATAAACATATATCGACCTTTGTTTAAGTGGGAGTACCCAGCGTTTACCGTGTTCTTACTTAACAAATGTATTTATTGGACATGGTTTGGAATTCTAGTTATTCTCGGCCTGTCCCAACTACTAGTACATATTGTAGTGTATCTCCTCTCTACCCTGCCCTGCTTTGACCTGCACTGCCTAGGCTTGCTTCCATCTAGATATTTCTGGTCTACCTCATTTTCTAACTAAATAATAAACAAATATAATCAACAAAAATTGTTCTCTCGTATATTCTTTTTTGTGTAATTTTATATATCACGACAAAAGAATTGCCACATTTCAAATTTTAAAAAAATTCATATTTTGTCTCCGAATATATTCATAAAATTAGGTTTAAAATGTTGATCTTTGACGTTGTGACAATTAGTGTTTGATTAAACTTCAATTGCTTTCAGTTGTATTCATGTACGCGTTATTTATCGAGGCGTTGAAATGCAGAATGATTGACCTTTTAGACATTTTAGACCTTTTAGACAATTATAGTACCTCTAACGTTTTGATATCACAGTGGATTAATTCTGATTTGACACACGTTTTTATATTTTTTTTTTTAAAAAATTGTTGTCTACTCATTCCGCTTTTTTTTCAGTGATACATATTCTTACAGTTGATTTTTATTTTTCTTCCTTGGGCGAATGCAGGTCTCTGAGAAAACCTTTTACTATTTTTTATTCTTGTACGTTTTTCTAAATTTAAATAATTTAATTTAATAATTTAGATTTAAGAGTGGAGAGAGGGAATTTGTTAGAGAAGGGAGACGTAATTTTTTAATTTATGCTGTCTGGAAGAGGTCTTTGGGAAATCTGAATTTAATGCAAGAAGGATGATGTGTTCTTGTCCGACTTTGAAGATTGGAGTGCTACTTATGATATTTGTAATTCATAGTAGATTTATGAACTAAGTAGTTTTCAAGGTTCCTTTTTCAAATAACTGGTGACCACACAAGGAAAGCGTATGTCATAGTTGGTCTTATTATCATTTTATAAATAACAAGCGTAGTTTAAGTACTAAGAAAGGAGATTTTGTTAATAATGTGGTCTATCTTAAATAGTTTCGCATGGGCTTTAGCTATTGATTGAGTGTGTGATTATCAGGCTAACTGCTTGACAAGTGGAACTGGTGGGTATTTAGCTATGGAAGCGACGATTTAGACAAGGATGCCAAGAGGCATCAGAGTTATCTATTCGTGGGAGAGTAGGGAAGTCTGAATGTGAATAACTTAGATTGCCACTTTTGTAGATTAATTTTTATTCTCTATATGTAGGTCCAGTTCGTACATGTGTGAATATATGACTGTAATAAACTAGGTTTGTATCAGAATGACAAGCGAAGATAGCTGTGTCATCTGCATATTGAGCAATACGTGCCTCGTGTGGTGTTGGAGAGTTTGCTGTATTTCATAATATGTAAATTAAACCACTTGTTTCTATTTTCAACAACCTGGAAAAATAACATTCTGACACAAGTTCAATATCTTCAAATTCTGATTTTTCATTCAGTATTTTACCTCTATTCACTTTCTCCTGCCAAACGTACTCTCATCATCTCATCAATTTGAAAAATAATTCCTTCAGGGCTTAAAGGTACAGTTTCACTCTCCAAAATAACAAAATACTTCCTTAGAAAAGTTCATCCAATTTGTCACAGTTTTGGTTGGCATTAATACATTATTAACAAAAGTAATACCTTCGAAACATTTTTTCAAAACCTAGCATGAAAGGGACAGAAATGTGTTTAAATAGCGATTTCAGTGCGAACAAACAATGCATTTATTGTACAGAACAAAAAAAATTGCTATGCGAAGCGACAAAACTGTAATTTTACATAAAGTTACGACAATGTAATAGTACTTATTTCTACAAAAGCATTACAACAGAATAATGCACAAAACCCATTAAATTCGAGCAGTTTAAATAATACATATCACGTTCGAGAACTTTGGTATAGCACAGTGAAATTAACTAGCTGCAAGGCTCCAGTTGACGGGGTTTGAGCCAAGGAAATTTCTCACGAGATATTTATGCAACATACTAAATGAACGAGCCCCTTCTCCCAGCCGTTGTAATTTCCCCTGGCTGGTGCAGACTAGTGAGTGCCGCGCCCCAGCGACTGTCGCTACCTGGCGGCTCAGCCGGAAACTACTCCACCGCCAGCTGCACCCATCTCTAAATTGGCGCTCGTGAGAGAAAATATAGTCATTGATAGTATATAACGAGTGCGCGTGAGATTCGTAATCTATCTCGTAATACTCAGCAACCCATTACATTAGCAACACAGCACTAGGAGGGAAATTAATCGAGTTCATTCGGAGGCGGCGGAAAATGTGTTATCACACGTATATCATTCATTATATGTTTCACTTTCACTCGCGCAACCCACAAACACGGCAAAAGAATATTATCATGTTTAGTTTACAACTACTAAACCAAAAACTATTTCATACAGAAACAAAATACTCGGGTACATTTACACCTATTTTACGACCAAATCAAGTATATCCACCTGCAAAATGACTTTTTATATTAATCTCATTTCTTTTGTATAGAGTATAAATGAGCATAGAGTATAAATCGAGATGCAACTAAGATCAAATTCGAAGTTAGTTTGTAAATACCGCATGTGTGAAGAAAAACTGGCACAATCCATCACAAATATACGCATATCTGATTAGCTATTTTTTCTATCGTTTAAAGTCCTCTTTATTTTTAAACTCTATCTTAGATCTCTTTCATTGGCATCATCTGCTTTTCCGCAGCTTACCCATTGCGTTAAAGAATAACTGAATTTGTGTAGAAAAAAGTTCAGTCAAAAAATTATTTTCTCAAAATACTATTGTCTATGGTTGTACATCAGAGCCTTAAGTCCTCCCGACCGAATGAAACTATCGTTTCATTGATCAGTACTTCCAGAGATTCGCACGCTGTGACTCGGCGCTGTTGCAAACCACATTAGTATAGAAGTTAAACAAAATTACTGCAAATCGTATTTTCCTAATCGTAGAATTAGAAAATGAAACGTTGTTTAAGTGTGTAAACATGTATACTAGTGGATGATTCTATTTATTCATTTAACAAATTTGTGTAATATTTCAATAAAATTAAAATTCAAGGTGTAGGCTTCGCAACGCTCCTACCTTGGGTAATACATGTGGCCATTTACACTTTGGCTTCATGAAAAAGGAAAATAATTTATCTTCAAAGATAAAATTGTAACTAATACATATTAATGCCTATAAGAATATATTCCAACGAGGACATGTTGGTTCCTTGAGAGTCCTTGTAAACAGAAAGAAGTAACTTTCCTTCATATCGTGCCTCTAACCATTTAACCTTGTGGTGGTCAGTGAAACAATCAATAATGCATGTATGTGTACGTTGTGGTGAAAAATATAACCTCATGTAAAGATGTGGTCAGATTCACAAATCATTCGACGAAGAATGAATTCAAATTTTCAATCAATAAAGAAATTAAATTTACAATTTATTTAGATCAACCATTATCCATGTAGCCTCACCAGTATAGCCACACATGAAGGAACGGTGGAAAAGAAAAGTCAGAGAGTGGATACTATTACACTAGATAAAGAAATAATTATGTAAATCAGGGTATTTACTTTATTCCCCTTGAAGTTTCTGTACTCTGAGTGGCAACACAAACTTTCCGAGGTCTTCTTCTTTTGGGGGCTTTTTCCAGCCCACAGTCGGTTACTCTTTACGTCCCGGCTGTAGACGTACCCCGTTCGGGACGCACATTTGAGTAAACCCTAGACACCAACACATTTGCGGTACCCTCTGAACAGGGGTCAGCAGAACGCGAGGCCCTCCACGGCAATACGTACATGAGAGACAAGGGACAAACAGGCATGCCCAAGGCAAGACTCGAACACGTGACCCCTTGGAACAGAGCGCAGAGTAGGTACTCGCTCTTATCCGCCTCGGCCATCCAGGTCGGCATTGTCCGAGATACATGAGCAAGTTTTGCATCAATTGATGAAAAATTAAGATCTAAAAACGAGAATGCATTTCTTAGAATGTGCCATCGATTGCACCCCCACTTAGGGTACAAGGCCGGTGTCATAAAGTCACCTGCGTGGCGCGAAGGGACCTCGGTTTATGATATTTTATAGAAATAATATTACTGGAATGCCATTTCCACCAGGCTTATCTTTTGCACTACATGTATAAGAAATTTTAATTAATTTAATTGCCTTGACTTTCCCATTCTTAGATACTTATCAAAAATTTTTGTCATATTTGATACTTTAATTTAATTCTTCACTGTCTGGAATTTTTTTTGTATTTTCAGATGCTTGGAGATTTACAGACCGCCCAAAGCATGTATTACAGTGTTAATTACATGAGTCGAGCCCGAAAATCGGATATTTATGTGTACTGCTTTACTGCTGATCAAGATCTGAATTATCTGAAAGCTGCTTTCAACCTCAGTGTTCCAGGTGAGAAGTTCACATTTTAACAGAGTTCTCTGTTTAAGTTCGACGGTTTCGATAATTCGAACATTTCAATTACCTCAATTGTTTTCTAGTCAAAATTTGCACTCATTAACGTACGTGACACCTCCCTAAAGCATAGTCTTCCGTGACCAGAATCAATATACCCGAATCGGTGCTCGGCTGTCCTAGCTGCTTGCTAGGACGCAGATGCCAGCGTTTCGGCGGTCACACTGCAGCGTTCCTCAGGGCAATATTCTCGGTGGTGCACTGCTCACGGGTCTATGAAGGACGAGGTTCCCCTCCATCTGACCATCCAACTGATTGGAGGACACGGGAGACCTCTTTTCTTTGGCTCTGCTTCTATTTTCGGTCCCCAGAAGTAACTAAGCTTCGATATCTGTGAATATTCACTCCGATAACTACTGATATATAAAAATAGATTATGTATGTCAGGGGCGGATCCAGATGGTCATTTCGGTGGGGGGAGGCATTGTAGGTTTTTTGTAAAATAATAAACATATTTGTTACTGTATTCTATATTATTTATGTACTGCAGATATGATACTACCCAATATTATTGTTTAAATAATTACATAATGCGAACTAAATAAATACTTAAATCAATTTTGAAAAGTGAAGGAAAGTAAAAGAAAACTCTAGGCTTTTCGGGTGGCCATGGACCCCAATGGATCCGCCATGATGGATGTGACTATTCTAGATCTAGTGCGCTGTGTACCGTACCCTGCGCACAGTCTGTTTCATAATTTGTAAATGCTAATGGTTATTGTTAGTGATGGAGATTTTGCGCAGATAAAATAACTAATGACTAAGAATGCATGCTGAAGCTTTTGGTTGCAGAAATACCTCATTTCAATGATACTAGAAATGTGGTGAGAACACCTCTCGTTTTTTTTCTGTTTTTTTCGTGTACCCATCTTTGTTAGTTTGTAGTTCATTGCTTTATGCCGTATTCTAACACAAAAAATTTCGACCATGTGCTTTCTATTTTGAAAGTCTTTGTGGATGTATTCCCACAATCGCAAAAGTTAGTGATAGAAATTTTCTCGGTGAAGTATTGTTGTTTGGGATTTGCGTAAGTCTGCATCAGAAATGCTTTTAAACGTGCAAGAATAGCTTTATCAAATAGTTTTGCAAACTGATAGAACGGCACTTTCAAGTAGTGAGGGTTTTTGAGGGTAGTGAGGGAGAGTTTAAGTTTTGGGAATTGGTATGATTACAGCGTACTTCCATGTTATAAAAAATATCTGATTCTGAGACACGAATTATATATCTTTGTGATGAAGGCCAGAGCCGCAGGAGGAAAGTGTTTGATTATTAAATTACTTATGTTATCGTGTTCAGGGGATTTTGTAATTAGCGGTTTGGTTATGATATTATTGATTTCTTTGGATGATATTAACTAAATTCTTTGGTGTGGTCCGTAAGTGAATGTATACGATTCATTATTTATTACTTGGTGAGGTGGATTATATTACGTGATGTTAGTGGTAAAGGTGCACAAAAAATAATTAGCGAAATTTTCTGCTTTTGGAAGGAAGTATATGCTTTTGTTTTTGCTGATTTAATTGGAGGAATTATTATTTTTTCCTGAGTATCTTTTTTGTGAATTGCCAAACTATGTTGTTTTCTGTATTGAGAGACTCAATAAGTTCATAAATTGATTATTTTTACGATTATTTCTGAGAATGTTTAGTTCGTGTTTGGCTCTATTATTTTTTTGAGAGGGCCAATGATCTTCTGATTTTATTCTTAATATTTATGATTTCTGAGGGAAGGTTGAGTTGGATTAATTTTTTTTCAAGTGTATGTCTTTAATTTCGACTTTTGCGTGGTCGTTTGGATGATAGAATTTAGATATGATACTGATTGGTCAATCTCGAGAGGGGTGTATAGTATTTTAATTTTAGGGATTAATGAATTTAATTCTGATTAAAATTTGGGCCAATTCATCTTACAAATTTTTGTTTGGGGGAATAGAGCATGGGGGAAAGGAATTTGTTGGCAGGCTATGAAAATGGTGATGTGGTCTGAATCTAATTCGAATATTGTGGAAGCATGAAATTTAAGGGGTGTGTATGGTATTCCTGTGTCTAATATGTAGAGGTTCTTGAGTTGCCATGATGGTAGTATGTAGGTTCCGGAGTTGTTATTATTATCAATGTGGAATTATTTACGAAACGTGCTCGGTTTTTTTCGTCACGATTGTTGTTTTTGAAGCCCTATGACTTATATTTTCCGTTCATGTCTCAGAGTTATTTCATCTCCGAGTTTTATTTGAAAAAATCGATCAGAAATAAAGGATCGAATTATATTATAGTATGGATGCGGCAGACATTTCGTTGATTTTATATAACAAGCCTGTGATGCCGCACACTTTTGGTCGAACGCTTTGCGCAATACTTCGTAGAAACAATGCGGAAACAATACATGTTTATTTACTAGAGCTCGTTGATGGTGTTCGACATTCTATGCAATTGTTCTATTGTAGGATGCCGTTTTCTAAACCGAACTGATGGTCGTGGACATTGCGTCATTTTCTTTTACTTAAAGGATTATGCGAAATAGTAAGTAGTTGTTTGACATACCCTTATTACAACGAAGCAATAAAACTTATTTGGTCTGTACGAGGAAACATATTGTATTTCTGTTTACCTGGTGTTTGCAATTACAATTAATTGTGCCAGTTTCCACTGCGGAAGGATAGTGCCAATGCGTATGTATTCCATTGAAAATGATGTTACAAAGGCAATGAGTTTTCTTAGGGCAGTGTCCTTGTAAATCATTTCAACCGTGTAATTCGTCATGTCCAAAGCCGTGTATGAGTTTAGGTAGTAGTTTCATCCCTGCTGTGACTTCTTTTGTGAGAAGGATTGTGTAATGTGGCGACATTTAGAGTTATATCCACAGTATTATCAAGGAAGGTGCCACAGGGGAGGCATTTTTGGGACCATGCGTGTATACGCTGACTACACCGGACGTTACCTCAATCCCCCAATCGTGGTCACCACGTGCAACCATATGCAGATGACACAGTCTTTTGCTGGCTTTGCACGAAACAAGAAACAGCAACAAGAACATTGAAAGAGTCACCTTCGAAACTGTATAAACAAATGTGTAAACTTCGTGGAGTGAATAAGATCAATGAAAACAAAGGTCCCAAATGGTATAACATTTACCCTCAGACGAACAAGAAATACAAGAATAGAAATAAACGGAAAACCAATCGAAAACGTAGACACCATCAAATATCTCAGACTACATCTCGACAAAAAGCTAACCTGGAAGAAACATATTTCAATTAAATGAAGGGAAGCAGAACTGAAAAGTAGACAAATGATATGGTTAATAGGAAGAAAATCTTGCTTAAGTCGAGAAAACAAAATTTTAATTTACAAAACAATACTCAAACCTATCTGGTCTTACGGAATTGAACTCTGGGGAACAGCTTCACATTCAAATATAGAAATAATTCAAAGATTTCAATCCAAATGTCTCAGATTATTAAGCAATGCTCCCTGGTATGTATCAAACGCCGCTCTACATAAAGATCTCAATACCACCACTGTTAAAGAGGAAATCACTCTCAAATCTCACAAATACCAACAGAGACTCGAAAATCATGTTAATCATCTGGCCATAAACATCTTAGATAACAGCACAATGACAAGAAGATTGAAAAGAGTTCATCCTCTTGATCTGGACCACAGATATAAATAATATTTTCCTTTTAAAATATTTGTTACTGTAGATATATTTTTTGTCACAATGCTTGCACTATTGTATTTTGTTTGTTATTGTGTTATTGTTATTTAAATGTGATGTTGTTTATTGCTGTTCTTGTTTGTTTTGTTTTTTCTCTCTGAATTGGATAATTAGTTTAAAACCATTTTTAGAAAGAACCAGAATTGGATGGTTTCTTTACAAGTCAATAATGTATGTATAATTGTATTTGCCGAATGTTCGAGTAGAACAAATTGCAAATAAAGCAGATGTTAGAAAAAAATGTCTCAGAGTATTAAAACATTATTGCCTGTTTGAAATAAACTTTCTGATGCTGTTGATGTTTAATTAAGGGTCGGGGGGGTATATTTTTATAATTGCCCAAGATTGTTGTAATATTTCGGCATTAAGAGCATTAACTTCTTTTTCGTAGAATTGAGGTATTGGTATGAAGTGGTGTTTTAGGTTTGAATTTATTACGATTAAGACTCCTCCTTTGTTCGGTGATCTATCTTTCATGTATGTGACATAGTCTGAAGAGTAAAACTTATTGCTGGGTTTTAAATGAGTTTCCGTAATGCAAGCAACGTTTACATTATAAGTATGGAGACATTGCGTAAATTGTATTTTTTTTAGCAATACTATTTGCATTCCAATTCATGAAGGTTATTCCATTTAGTCTATTTACTGCCATTGTTATTGTAATTAGATAAGAGTGAAGGTATATAGTTCTCGATAGAGTTGATTATAGTAATAATTAATGAAATTGATTATACTGGATGTGACTGCTTCAATAATGGTGTTTAAAAAGAAACTATTTTGTTGGTTTATATTTTGAAGGTTGTTGGGGCGTCAACTATTAAATCTTGCGGAAGGGGGTGGGTTGTAGGTGAGGGAGTGTTTATTTGCGTGAAGCTGTGAAGTTGCTGTTATACCGGTAGAAAATGGAACTGAGGAATCGAGTGAATGTTAAGTGAGGGGGGGGGGTGGCGTTGGTGGTTGGTGGGGTTGGTTTTACGGGCATTATGGTTGTTGTAGTATGTACAGGAGGTTCTATCATATGCCCACTCCAGTTTTTGCAAATGAGGTTTTAGCTTTTATTTGGATACATTACTGAGTAATAATTTGGGGAAGAAAGATAACAACTTATTTGATGGTTATAATAATGTTCTTTTTATGTTCGATGTAATCCTTACATCGTTGGCATTAGACTAGACTGGTCCCTGCATTCTTATCCTTTGGTCTGTTGACACTCTTAGATTACAGATATTAATGGCTAGAATATTTTCAATAGGGTCTTTACCTTTGAATACTGGTGCTACAATGGAGATTGGGGCGTTGTTCTCGGTGAGGCTAGTGATTTTTATTAGAGAAGGGAATTTCTGTTTAATTTCTGGAAATTTTCAAGTTGTGAAATCGACTAAACGACATTCTTAAATACAACAGAAATGTTCTTTTTGGTGGGTCTTTATAGGTCTGTTAACTTCTCTGCGTTTGGAGAAGGTATTTAACGATTTTACGAAAGTACGTGGCTCTTTAGGCGTTTAATTTTTTGATTTTTCATGTCTGTGTCGAAATTGGTAGAGTCTCTTTTTAATTCTTTTACGAGTGAACTTAAAATTAGAAGTTTCAGCGACAAAAACGGGTGGAATTCTATTGGGTTGGTCCGCTGGCTCTCAGTCATCAATGTTTAACTGAATCTTTTGTCTGGTACTTTAGTATCTTCCTTGTCTAAAGTTCCAAATTTATTTCCCACATTATATTCTACTAGTCCTGGGTTCTGTGAGGAGTCACTTATACTGCTAGCAGCTTTTTATACTCTGATTGTGAAACACTATAACTTAGTGACCTTTTATGGGTGAACGTTGTTTCCAGGTTAAAGGACTGGTCTGCCAACTGCCCAGGCTGTACGTCCATTGTTAGGGCACTGGCCTCTGACTCGTGTTGTAGGAGTGAAGTTTGTTACTGGATTTCCATGACTTCCGGGCAGGCACCGATAAGAGAAATGAAAGATACACCATCAGAGTTCGTTGTCGTAGTGTCCGTACCTGGTAGAACTTAAGGATAGCGCATACTACTTCGCACGAGTGTGGATTGATTGTGGAGGCCAGTGTACAAAGTTGCACTTCACAGTGAAAGAATCGATCGAATTTGGCAAAGCACTTCGTTGTTTTTATTTTCTCAAATACTCTCTAAGTTTTAATAATATTATACTTTAAACGAGAAAGTACGTAGCGGCGATATGCCGCAAAGAAGCGGGTGGCCACTTGCTGAGTTCTGTGTTACAGTTAGCGGGATACTTGTTACACTTAGGCACTGTGTTACACATAGCACCACGTAGCCGAATTTGACGCGGATGGCTATAACACTGTTTTGAGACACTACTGCACTCAAACTGAAAGAGCTGTAGCAGAGCACGTCCGAACTCGACTACGGTCCGATAAGAAATGTGATGAGAACACCTCTTGTAAGCAATGAATTATTTTATTTTTCTCACGTAGAATCATCCGAATGCTCTCGTTTGGGTGAATGATGCTCAAAATATTCTATAAAACGATCCAATAGAGAACAAATTTGGTAATTTGTTCAGAAATAAAAAAGTCTAACGATATAAATACATAAAAATATTATTAATAAATTCTAAATAGTCTTTTAGAGCGAGGAATTGAAAGAACTACCTTTGTGTAGCGTTACTAATAATGTACAGGATAAAGAGAGGGGTAGTCGTTGACACTACTTTTCTAAATTTGTGATATTTTCAGGTGCATCTCACGCTGACGAATTAGGGTACCTCTTCAGAACAAACTTCCTTCCGAACGTCTCGTCCTCCAACCCTGCACATCTCACTCGCAGAAGAATGGTCAAACTCTGGACAAACTTCGCCAAATATGGGTAAGTACTAGGGAAGAGCATAAGCAACCCAAGTAACCCAAGCAGCCTGCAGAGATTACACGGAAAGTTTCTCGAACGCAACACTCCATTCATACTAAGAAACGGTTCGCCAAAATCATGGATAGTGCTTTGTACGAACGTACGCTTTTGTTGAAAACTCTAATATCGTATTTTCACAACATTTAAACCTCTTCATTTTTAGTGCAATTATAATTGACCCTGGCGCTCATTTCAGCTTAAACGAAAATGAACGTGCACCATTTTCTTAAGTGTCCATTACACTAACAAAAAATTATTGAGTTTTTACCTGCAGTACTTCTTATTCCCACATCCTATTAAGTAAAGTGAAATCATCTATTCGTTTTCACATTTAACTCACTTAAAAACGCAATTTCAATAGGTTTTAAATAATTTCTGAAATATTACTGTTTAGACTTGTAACAAAAGTTTGAAAAAGAAACGAACAAAGAAATATGAAAAACTATACAAATTTTAACAGACGTAGCATCCAACTCATTTAAAACACATCTAACATTACGTTCACATAAATTAAAACGTAGTTCTATTACTTTTTGTTAACTAGAACTCATACAATGCTCATTATAGTATATGCCACATGGCTATCTAATCATTCAGTCTTTTATATTATTTCTTCCTCGGTGTTTTGTCCAGCCGATAGCTGGTTCCCTCCTACATCCCTATGGGGCACATATTTGGCCTGACACTAGACTCCAACACTCTTGCAGACTCCTTTTGATCTGGGATCAGCAGAACGCGAGGCCCTCCGCGAGAACACATACATAAGAGACAAAGGACTAACAACCAAGGGACTTGAGCCCGCGACCCTTTGGACCGGTGGTTGAGTTAATAGACGCTCTTAGCTCTCTCGGCCATCCAGGCCGTCGATTTATATCATCCCTTTCTCAAAATTTAGGCAAAATGTTGACCTTACTTGACGATGGCTGATTATACTCTTTACGAACCGCCTCCTGATGATCACTCGCGTAACGAGAATCCGATCAATCTGCCTATCTCGAAGTACAATTAAATCTTGGTCCAGTAGACCTGTAGCTATGACTGAACTCTGTATACGATATTAACTATCCACAGCATACAAAGTACTTCAGCGTACTTCAACCGTCCTATTCATTAATACTAGAAACCAAAGCCACACAATCCAAAGACCATAACTAGAAATGCGTAGCGGCGTATAACTACGGTTATTTACTCTAATCAAATTCATGCATTTTCTCTAAACTTGCTTTAGCATTTTTAAAACAGTTTCTTCAATGTAAAGCACATACGATATTTTAACGATAGTGTGGATGTACAGTAGTTGAGTGGTGGGACGGAGTTTAAATACATTTCAAAAATCTAATCGTAATGTTAACTTGTCATGTCATTTAGATGTAATTTAGAGAATCGTGAGGGTAGGTTAATATTCGTCAATGGATTTAGGAAACTTTTTAACATTTTATTCGAGGGTACCATTTTACTTTCTACCTTCGCTCGAGAGAGAAAGTTATGTAATGCTGCGCGAAAAAACGGCAAATTTTCGACAGAAAACGCGTATTATAGGACCCTGGTAACGAAAAAGTGAATAAATCCAGTTGCCAAATTTATAAAAAATACTGCAACACGTAAAATTCATGTTATATGGGTCCTCGATACCGACAAACCGATAACAAACGTTCTATCCGTCATTCTTTCCGTCCTCTGTGAACAACGCTAGTGGCTAAACCGTTCAGCCAATTTTCTTCAAAATTCATATTTCCCAATCAATCTGGTTGATATCGTGGCCTCTTGGATTAAAATCCTATATTTAAATTTTGGGGGTACTTCACATAAAGCCCCTGAGTCATTTTCCAAGTTTTAAAAAAAATGGCTCCATCCTTTTTTATTCATTTTTACTGTTCGATAGTGTGAAAAACGTTTAATATAATTGTGTAGGCCAAATGTTCGTTAAAAGAACTAAGTTTTCGAAAATTGCAAATATTCAAAAATTTTTCGGAGTCTTCCTACAATAAAAATATTAAAGATAAAGATAGAGATTTTCCTTAAAGATACATGTGTCTTAAAGGTAAATTTTTAAATAAGGCCAAGTACAATTTTTCGAAAATGAGAGTACTTTTCGCGTAATTTTGCATGAAAATACGGGGGAGGACGTAAGTGCTGTTTTAACACTTCCAGTTATTCAGTTTCCGTCATAAATGGAGCATTCTCTGTTTTATCATTTCCTTTCCAAAGTATTTTGCACACAGTTTCCCCCTCGATTGAAAGTGGAATAAATAATACCTTTAAAATATTTAATAGACACTCTTGTGCAACAAACGGTGTCGAGAAATTCGATGACCCCTCCTGCATCCGTTTCTCATGGTTCCTAATTGCCCGCCGACACGAAAGGCGCACCCAAATAATAGGCCTAGTGTCGGTTTTGTTCATTATCGATAATGGCCGTGCCTACGGTGTATGAAACCGGAACTAGCATTCTCGGACATAGCGGCCACGTCACGCTAATCTCGTCGCAGAGAAAAATTGGCACTGGGTGGCTTTGTGTCCGGCCCTACTCTCTGAAATTGAAAATCTCGACCCTTAGGACCTCTCAGTCAGAGTCGTCGCGGTGGACGTAGTTGTTTCTCTGAGTCATCTCCTACAGTTGAAGAATTTGTTTATTGGAACTTCAAGTTACACAATTGTAGCGATAGTTTGATGTTTTGTGGTTTGCGCGCAGGAATCCTACGCCCACATACGACCCGCTGATTGGCGCCGAGTGGCTGCCGTACACAACCAGCGAGCGAGACTACATGGAGCTGGGCGGCGAGATCATCCCGTCCGTGGACCTGCACGGCGAGCGCGTTCGCTTCTGGGAGGCCTTCTACAGCAGATACGGCCTCAAGGGCGAGCGGCCTGGCTGGCGCTGGGGCACCTGCCCCGAGCCCTCCAAGTTCTCCTTCACCTCTCGCCGGGACAGGGCCCACTTCGAAAACCGTTTCACGCATTTCAGCGAAAACCCTTGACATTTCAAATGAGTCACCTTTACCTCTCGCACTTAGAGATTCAACATTGCGATTCGTTTCACAAACAGCGAAAATCGTTTACATTTGAGACGTATCTAGAAGTAAGAACAAACCCAGTCGTTTTTATTTGTCTCCTATGCTAGTAAAGGGAGGAGAAGTTTCGAAATCACCTCAACAATACAATCTTGAATGTTCGCTCGTAACATCTATAAATTCTCTGTGTACGTTTCCATTTTTACTAAAATTTGAAAATTTCAAAACCCCAAGTACTCGTATATTTCAAACCTATTAATATTAAAGCCAGAGATTTCTTAATGCATTAAATCAGTCAACTGTACATCTTAAATGATATTTTAATAAGCCACGCACGAGATTCGTATATTTTGGACGTAAAGTAGACGGAGCTACACTGTAAGGTTACACTGTTACACATCTTAAATGATAGCCAAAATGAATTATATGTACTTTTCTTGCATCCATCACATTTCTCTTCCGTTATTTTACTTGAGGCGTGCTCAATGCCTCTCCGGCGGGTGTCCTGCACTTGGAGCCAGCCGTCTGCCCGCGCAAGCGCAAGTAGTATGCAGAGGCCGTTTGGGGGGAGGGGAGAAGCCAGAGCGGAGTGGGCGCGGAGGGTGAATTGATTTGCCCTCTTCTTTATATAGGCAATCTACCGTATTTCTAGCTACACAGACCGTATTTCAATGTTTATGTTTTTCTATGTATCGACATATTTTTATTTTTTTTACTTTATGCGCATTGTAACTCATAAACTATATTTTAAAGCAGTTCTCTCTAGATAACTATTACTTAATTTTAACTAACAAAAATTTATAACTGAAATTGAAAGTCGAAGGCAGTCTCTCACATCCAGATTGATATAAAAATAAAATATAGGATATTACAAGAGGGGCTGAAATATATATGCTGTTTGGCAGCACATATATTTGTGACAATTTTCACTAACTATGACACTCAATAAGAGATACCAATGAGCAAACCCCTTTTACGATATTTTACGGTCAACGGTGGCAATAAAATGAGTCTTGTTGAAAAGAATGCTAAGAGCTTAACCTTTTTATAATGTGTCGTAAGAGATTGTGAAATTAGAACAGAGAGAATAATTAATTTTAAGAATAAGATTTTTAGCTTTGAAAGAACTGTCTTAATTAAATATATTTAATGAAAATAATATTTATTACTGTCACCATCAAACAAAAGAGATTCGATATTACAATTTTGTATCTAGAAGAACGCTAAATTTCAGCCCTACAAATAATTATAATATTGGTATTCAAATCAGAATGTCTAAATCGTTTTAGAATCATATTTCACAGTGTCATACAGCGACAACAAACATTTCCAAAATACTTGAACTGTATATAACACTCCTTCATTTTCTCTAAATTTCTCTTTCAATTTTTCGCGCTACGATTCGAGTTATGCATTCTAATTGGTGGATCCCACTTCTTAAATGATATTCCCCTTAATGAAATTAAATGAATCTTATGCCCACCCATCCAAGCGGCTCGGGCTATCACGCAATTTGCTCGCGCGCGGCTCCCGAGGTGAGTCTGAGTGCAAAGTGCTGAGTGTTGTGTAGGCCTGTTTCACGTATTTCAACAAAGATTTACAAATTCAATGAGAATACAAACTAAGTATCCTTTTTTTCCATAATTCACCAATTCAGTGTTTTTCAATGATTGACTTACAAGAGACCATTCAATGGTTTTAGAACGATATCTCTCCTGATTTTTTTCTATTGTAAGATATTCACTATTTGCAGGTGCTGTGAAGAAAATAGTTTTAATCGAGCATGAGAAGTTGCTAAAAACAAAGCATTTTGTCATTATTGGCCGCATTGTTTTCGCTGACGCCATGGAGAACCAAGATTTACTTTGGGCAGGCATATTTACATAACTTTCCCTATACTACGTATAGTACTCTGTGTATACGTATATATACTGGGAAGTAAAAATACCTCTCGTTGGCTAAAAAAACTAATTTTGATGCTGATCGTTCGGCTGCTAAAACTAGAGCGATGTTGCTCGTTCGATGCCCAGAATCGGAAAGGGCGTTTTTCTGCCTACCGATTAGATTCTCAAATCCCATTTAATTTTTTTTTAATTTTTCCGTACCTTCCGGTCTATACTCGCCACCTGAATTTTCAAGGTCCATCTAAAAGAATCTTTCCATAGCCAAACTCGATTTGTACCGCAACGCCATATTGTTTACCTTTTCCCGAACGTAACCATAGTTACCCGTCCCTATCTGAGATCTACGACCGAAAATATGTTTCTTGAATTAAAATTGGTAGGGCGCTAGGGTATATCGCATTATAGAAATAGATATGAAGTGTAGATTTGTAAAGTGTTTATTTTTCCGTAAAGTTTTTTGGTCACATAGTGGCTATCTTCATAGCCAAAAAAAATCTGAAACAATTAAAATTTTTTGCATTATAGAATATGATTTATGAATTCTAGTAAAAAATGAAGCTAAGAACAATAGAATAAAATGGGAATATATAATACAAAAATTTAAAACAGTTTTGAAGAAAGAAGACATGTAAGCGAGCGAAGTAGCAGTTGAGACTGCGACATATTGCTTAGATAAATTGGGAGAGCATTAGCAGAAACCGCAACGAACATCGCTTTCTATGTTCTCATCAGACGAGAGAGTTCTGGAAAAGAAACGACACATCTGATTCTAATTCATTCTACTAAAACAACTCCTTATGTACAATTAAATGATTCCTATTGTCTTAAGTTATAAAACAGTAACAGTAACAAAAAGGAATTTTGCCAAAATTCCAAGCTCTGCTCATTAACTTAGTGTTCATCTGCCCTGAATTGGAGATGTTTTGCGACGTGAAAAATGGGAAGCTTTCTTTTTCTTTCAGTAACTTCCAGTGCGTAGCAGTGGCTATTTTTTCACAGCGTATAAAAATTGCAAATTACAAGAACCAAATTGTTACATTTTTACCTGCGCCTGCTGAAATGTCCGTTGTTAGACACTAAAATCCTCTTTTGCATTCTTTTCTCTTCAGCTTTCGGTAACGGTTTGCATTTAGTTTACGTTAACAATCAGTTAACATTTCTTCCACATTAAAAGAATTATTTTAAAATCCCTTTATTCATTTTAACGACGCTTCTATTGATGAGGACTGCAAAGAAATTATTTTTCTTAAGGACTTGAATTTCCTCTTCCAATAATTTTACTAAATTAAAATTTTTATTTAAGTCAGAAACAATTCTTATTCTTTTTTTGCATCCCTTATTCCTAACTGGATTCATTTTATTTATTTCGAAGGAGGCTAACATACAAAAACAGTTTCCTTTTTTTGAATTCAATAATTCATTTTAACTTATTTCATTTCATCCAACGATTTTTTTTTCATTTCATACAAAAGAAGAAACTATATATCACTTATTCTAATTCATTAAACATCGTATTATGATTGAAATACCTCAACCATCCAAAATACCCGCAAAAAAGACATCAATATCACTCACCTAGCCCATTTAATTTTTTTATAGAACATTTTTGTGAACACATTGAACTCAAATGTAAGGCAGGCATTGTTCGCCAGTATTAAAAATAGTATAATATATAGTTCCTAAAATTATTGATGATACAACAAAAATAGTTGTAACACATTTTAATAAGATTATTTATTAATTTCAATGCTCAATTTGAATGTTTTTCAGAGCAGTTAACCTTTTCTGATCACAGACTAATTAGTTTTGTGTAATGTGTGTGTTTTTCATTCATTTAAATGGAAAATAAACATTTCAGTCTAGAACAGAGATGAAATGCTTCTATCCTTTGTATATTTGTATTTTTTTAATTACTTATTTTATCAGTTTACATCCGATATAATGTAACTAATAAGATGATAACGAATAAAAGTTCTATATTTCTTGTGTACAAAATTAATAATACAATTTCTATCATTCTTATTCTAAGGTCCATTGAGCTGCGTTACTACATAGAACGTGTTATTGCATAGTATTCTAGAAGTAACTAGTTCATCTGGTGACAGTATCAACAGCTCATCATACAAATTCACTTTCAATACATTCACGTGTTTTTACAACACTTTGCTAGATGCCATAAAACGATTAACATTGATTCACAAGTGTAAGTCCAAGTAATATCGTTAATGCTGCATAACTGTTCCTGTACATTTAGAGTTTATACTGAGCACTAAAGAGGAAAGCAATATTGCTTTCAACAATGATATTGAAACATGCCCTACATTGTTTTTTCTTAGGGAAATATATAAATGTTTATACTCTGCATTTAATGGCATACACACGCAGTAATACTGCTCGGACATTCGCTGTGGTGAGTCCGCGAACACCAGACGTGTTTGTGGTGAGCGCTGCGAGGTTGTGAGCAACTGTTCCACGAACGAGTGATACCTTCTATAGTCAGCTGCTCTAGCGGATATAGATTTAGATTTACGTAGTCAAAAATCAGTAAAAACTCTATGTGACGTATGGGGGAGAAGATAATCTGCCCTCGTTTTCTTGAGTTCCAGAATATCTTCCCATCATTTTAACTATAAATAGTTGAAAAATGAATAAAAGTTAAAAACAAATTTAAACTAATAATTATAATATTTTAAAAAAAGCGCGACATTAGCAACATTTGAAAAACTAGATATTTTCGTTCCTGAGTTATAAAAAACTTATTTTCAATACAAACTGAAGATTTTATTTTCTGCATTACTTACAAAATAGTAACTCGCCCTACTTCTACTCGTACCACTACAAGCAAAAGGATAGTTCAACAAAACTTGCGCAAAGTGAAGCTACATTTACGTCCAAAAGCAAAGCAAGGGGCATTCTCAGCATTTGTTCAATGTATCAGGAATCTGGACAAAAACCTGATCGTTATGGGGGTCATTGACCCGGAAGCTGAAGTACATTATTCGTTACAAGCGCATTATGTCTTTCAAAAAAAATATACAATGAGCTCATTAACTAGTTAATTATAGATCACTGTTTTGTTAAAAGAAACATTATTTTTATTTTTGATAATCAGTATAGTCACTAATTGTATAGAAAATATTTTGCTTGTAATCATAAACATCAGTATTGCATGAAAATCTGTTCCTGCCGTTAAATAAGTCAGTTTTGACAAAAATTACAGATTCGTAAGTAAATAGGCAATGGTAAGATCCGACATGACATCCAACTACGATGGAAACTGCTACTCACGGCAACGTAGCCTCAGAACATAGATAAACAAGGACGCAAAACTTATTTCTTGCAGTGCAATCAGGAATTTAAAATTAAAGTGATTGAGAATGAAGCCCAACAAGGTATTAGCATCAAGGATTATGTATCTAATATTGTCACAAGCGTTCACCCCTCAAATATTAGTTTTGTTTCAAGAATCTGTTTCTTCTTCTCAACTCAAAATATTGCTGAACGTTTTGTGAATACACACAGCTTTTTATTAATAATCAAAAACTAAATATACAACCACTCATCAATAAACAAGTATGGGTTATTATCTCTAATATGGGTCCTATTATTCCGAACGAACTAGTCCAAACAAATTAAATAAAAACAGCATCAAACCCTCCACTAGGACGTGGTTTATCAGAGACGGGATCTCTGAACTTCGCTTCTCCCATATCCTGAACTTTAGAAGGCAGATCCGGCCGATATTTACACGTTACCGGATGGATATTTACCGGCGGATATTTACACGTTACCGTTACTGGTATGCCATCAAGGCACCGTATTTACATTTACATGGATTATGTTGTGTGTTTCCTATGCAAACAGGAAGGCTACATTACTAACCAAAGCCCTCTTATCAAAATCACACCGATAACAGTGACTTCCCTGCAAATGAAAATCAATCTGCCCCTACTAGCAATTCACAAAATTCTACAATCACTGTACCCCCAATTAATGACAATAAAAATTTCCGTAACCTCCACAAAAAATCCTCACAACTGATTCACCAGCAACTAATAACCAATTAACATAATTCTCTCACTCCTGTCGTCTCAAATGACATAACTTCCCCTAACCATAAAAAAACAAGCTAAGTCCCCTGCAACTGATAACCAATCTGCACATTCTATTAATCAACAGGAATCTTCTAATGACAATATTTATGTATGTAAACTAAACAAAACAGACCCCCAATCTAACCCCTTCCATGTTCCTGAATCCTCAAGATCCACAATCCGTCGCGCCATCGTCGCCATCGTCGCGCCGCGGATGGTGCGAGCAGAGCTTGGTGACCTCGCATGCACGAAAAGTATGCAACTCATGTCCCTTGCTTCTCCCAAACTCCTCAAACCGTGCGACCTGTTGGGTCGTGGTGAAGAGCCGTTGCCGATGACACTGTGCAAGAGAATCTGAGATACTCGAGCGTCACCTGTAAAGAATATATGTATTTCTAATAACGGCCACATCTTTCTAAGCATAATACTCGCATGACCTGTTGATTATTGTAAGGAATGGGTACTTAATGGAAGGTAGTAGGCATACGTTAATGAGTATCAAAATCTGTTATAAAATATTTCAGTCGTAAAATATTTTAATTGGGAAGCAGATACATCCAAATCGCAAACAGTATATTTAGAGTGAAATGTATTTACTTTTTAGTAATTAAAATGTTTAGAATTTAGATCAGACGTATGATTTCATGCACAACGTAGAAAGTTGCTATATTTATCGTTTCAGAGAAACGAGAAACTTTAATGTACTGGGCACGCTGGCTTTTTTTTATTCTCTCGCTTAGCGCCGTATTTCTTGTAGAATTTCTCCCAGAATTGCACGCGCTTCTTGTTGAGGTCCACCCTGGTCTTGAGTTCATCTCCAATCTCCAGGTAGTTTCGCTTCTTGGATGTGTAAGGCCTCCATTTCTTCCCAATCAGTGGGTCGTTATGCGGAGTTGGATTCCTGCGTAACCACAAAAGACTGAAATTAGGAGTAGGAATACCAATAAAATGCAAACGAAATGTAAAAAAATCATCTGAGGTGTAGTGTGAAACCCGTAAGTTGTAATTACATCGTAGTATATATAAAAATATATGTTACAAACATCTAGGGCAGTAGGGTGTCAAATATAATCAATTATTGTCAAAGAGCACGTGGAGGAATTCTCATGTCACTTATATGCAATTTCAAACAGCATGCCTCTGATGGGCAAATGATCATGCATAAAATGTGTATGTCACAGTCAAATCGCGCACCTGCGAAAACTCTCTACTGTATGTGTTGTTTCCTTACATATTATATTAATAAATACGGCAATATGACCGATCGCATGTTTACTAACTTTAAATATTTCGCTTCTCACACAAACCGAGATACGAACTGACTAGCGCAGTGATTGACATGTCAGGCACAACGTCCAGTAACGAAAAGATGAGAGTAGTAGGAGCGAACGGTATTTCGATAGACCTCACCTGAACGATTAACAGGTGTTGATCGAGCTCATTCTGTGCGCGCCAACGAGAAGAACAAGACGCAACCAAAAATCAGTTTCCATCAGCGGTAAAACTACATTAAGGGAGCTCATCATATGGATTACATATTCTGTCTACAGTGCTATATCATTTAATGAATTATTCGTGAAATTGTGAGGAAGAAATATATGAAATTTGTAAAGGGAAAAGTGCAAGCACGTGCAACGCCTTATACTCATGATGTTTTTCTCATTCTCAGCTTTTTTATGTAATCCTTTATCTTGTATCTTGAGTTAATTACCAGAAGTCTACTACTTTAATAAGATGGTAAAGTAAACGGTATTCACATAAAACAACATTGGAGCAGATTAATGAATGGAGTTCCGAAACAGTACGTGTTTGAGCCGGCACGTGGGTAGACAGGTATCTCCATGTGTCGCTTGGCCACCATTTGGTGTTATCCTGACCAGCACCTTCCAGTGAGAGCCACAAAAGCTGAATTACACCACACGAGAACGAAATTGGAAACAAAAGGGTGAAATACGAGACGAGACCTACGGACTTCAAGGTTCGTTCACTGAAGTATGCATCGCCCATGCCAATCGCCCCGTGGATTCACAGAAAGTAAGACACCATACGATGTTCTTAAATTGCGTATATCTCGGAAGTATTTTCTACGCGCCAGTGCCGACTGCAAGCGCGAAGCCCTCAGGACAGGAAGCACTGCAATTTGTTTGCTCTGTAGTCAGATCACTTCAACATTTTCCTTCCGAACTATTCAGAAGAAGGGAGAATACCACTATCTGCGTCCGACCCAAGGCCAAAGTCACGCGTTGTGTATATATTTCGTAGACTTTGAAAGGAGAAAATCAGTAAAATGATGGTCAGTTTGCTTTCAAAGACAAAATTTAGCATATTTACAAAGGAAAAACTTTGTATGCTAAGCTGAGAGAATAGCTAAGAAGTAATTTTTCATATCGGTAATTCTGACTCATGCTAAGAATATTGTATAAATAATTACTTCCTTAAAGGAAATGACGTGTACAATGACTTTTTGAATTCATGTCTGTAAACCTTAGAGTGAGTAAACTTAGTTTGTGTGTATTTTGTATTTTTGTTTGAGTTTAAAAAAAACGTATTCACTTTTTTAATAATAATACCTTGTTTTGCTTCTGAACTTCAATTTAACTTCTCCCCATAGCACGTCACATTTTTTAACTGTTTTTGACATAAATATTTAAAGTACAATTTGCACAACACCAGAGTAATTTGTTACTTGGTTAAAAAGTGAATTTTACATGAACAAGTATAGATAGCACTGTTAAATATAGGAAAGATCCTTAGAGACTGTGTAATTTCAGATTGGTTATATGAATGTTTTCAAAGGGTATTACATTCTTGTTGTGAACCTGAACAATTTTATATTTTTGCCATTGCTGATGTTTGTGTATCTGTTTTTTAAGTGCATTCAAGTGAGTACATTTTTGTTGTGGCTGTGAATATTTCAATCATGTCAAGGTATTTTGTTTTCGCTTTTCTAACCTGTCATCACCATATCCCTGAGATTATTCTTTTCAAGAAGTCCAAAACATTTTTATGATCAAACAAAACTTCTGGGTCATAAGCCATTGCGGTGATGCTACACCCTTACTTGCAGTAACCTACTGTGTGTTGTGTGAGACCCCATCAGCCTTCAGTGGATGAGAACGTCGCAGGAGCTGGGTTGGTGCAAAAAGCTGGCACTGAAAAAGTGTATATGGGCACATACACACCTATAAATAAGATAAATATATTTTTGAAAACCACGAGTAAAAAGCTTTTATTTGAGGGCATGTGTAGAGTGCTAAAAGTTCAAGTTTTAGCACTAGTGAAAAAGGAAGACGATGCTCGACTCTTCAGAAAAATCTCTGACTGCAACAAAGAAAAAATACTCCCGTCTGATGTATCAGCTAAAATTAAATTGAATGTATCTTTAAGTGATTTTAAAATCTGCAAGAGTATCAACGCAAAAGATTAAAAATAGTATTTTAAGGGAAAGAATTTAAAAATATCAATTTTAGTTTATGTAAATTATAAACAATTAAGATGGTTTGGTCATTTCAACCGAATGGAATGAAATTGTAAATCAAAACAAATATTTAATTGGCTCCACTTCGAAGAATAAAAAAATAACTACACAAAAATACATGGAATGAAGAAATACACTATGGGATCAAAAGTATCCGAACACGTGGCTGAAAATGACTTACCAGTTCGAGGCGCTGTCCATCTGTAATGCTGGAATTCAATATGCTGTTGGCCCATCCTTGGCCTTGATGATAGTTCCCACTCTCGCAAGGCATACTTTCAATCAGGTGCTGGAAGGTTTCGTGGGGAATGGCAGCCCATTCTTCACGGAGTGCTGCACTGAGGAGAGGTATCGATGTAGGTCAGTGAGAGCTAGCACGACGTCGGCGGTCCAAAACATCCCAAAGGTGCGCGATATGATTGAAGTCAGGACTCTGTGCAGGCCTGTGTGACAGGGATGTTTCTGTCGTGTGACCACTCCGCCACAGACCGCGCCGTATCAATAGGTTCTCGAGCGTTTTGAAAGATACTATCGACATCACCGAATTGCTCTTCGACAGTGGGAAGCAAGGTGTTTTAAACATCAACGCAGACCTATGTCGTGATAGTGCCACACAAAAAAACAAGGGGTGCAATCCTCTCCATGAAAAACACGTCCACACCATAACACCCTTTTGGACGTGTCCGGATACTTTTGATCAAATAATGTGTATAAACTGTTACATAAAATAGTTTTAAAGAAATTCAAATAAAAAGTTTGTTTTAGGAGGGAGAAAAGAAAACAAAACATAATATTGAAGTGCTCAAACAGAAAAGTGGTTAATTGCATTATATACCTGTTAAATTCAGCGATTTGTGTACTTCAATTAAAATAAGATAAGTCAGTAAGGCTGCCTAAATATAATGTGACACACGTGTTACATGTTTTTATTTTACTCTCAGTACTGCGTCACTCGGCCTCTTGGCCTCGTGGCATAACATTTCCTATTCTCGAAATCAAATTTATCACATGTATTATATGTATCTATTTTAATTCTCTATAAATAGAAGACGAGGAGAGCTCGTATGTGTTCCGAGGTTTCCTGTTCGCTAACAAATCAACTCACGTTTCTTAACGTGATAATATGCGTATGAACCTAATTTAACAGAGGTTTTACAAAACATCCGTTGAAACACAAGATACATTTCCTTGGTTTTCTTCCAGTTGGTAGCAACAAAATATATCTCTCCAACTCACAGCATGTTTGTATTCATTATTGTATAAAGCATTGTTGGCAGTATAATGAGGGTCAGGGCTCATAAATTCGTATTTCGAAAACGACTCATCTCCAATCTTCGCAAAAATGAGATCATTACTTGATATCGTATGTAAGATTTTCGACTTGCAGTAAACAATCGCGTGTTCGCCACTCGCTAACGCAATCTAAATATACGTGTTAATCTGTTTACTTCTTTATTATCCGGATGTAATGTTTCTCAACAGTGAGAGGAAGTGTGGTCTTTTATAAAGGCTCGACGATTGCCTCGCCCACGATCTTCAAATGCGAGGCATCGCTGGTGAATACGCACCCCCATTTAGCGAAGTTTGCCCACATTCGCACCATCTTCTTGCGGATGATGAAGGCCAGGCTGTCGGAGGACACGTTGGGGCTCACGTGCGTTTGGAACAGGTATCCCAAGTCGTCCGCGTGGGATGTACCTGAAATGTAGAATTTATAGTTAATCAAATCGTCATAATAAACGTTGGCACCAACTTATTCCGTTAGTAAAATATTCACAATCCCTTAACATCACAAGTAAAGTTCGTATTTATCTAACAATGTCCAATCTGGGGTTCCGCTTCAAAAACATCGATTAACAAAATTCAAGTATTTCAAAATGCTTGCTCTCAGAACTTGTTTAAAAGCGCCGTGGTTTATTCCCAATGTACAAATTCATAACGAATTAGACATTCTACCCATCAAAAATTATTTTCTACAATTCTCCACTAAATTTTATTCCTAAAAATCCCTATACCATCTGCACTCCACTTTCAACTAAGAAAACATAACCCTCACCAAAACAGAATTGAACGAAAACTTTCGAACGATTTCTTTAACCCTCCTCAACCTTTTTCTTCAACAATAAAGCAATACAACAAAGCAATATAATTTAATTTTCTTACGATGCATTAGCTGCATTGTTTCTTCTTCAACTCTTCAATTCTACAAACAATTGTAGATTTCTTAACCTTCTGCCAAAAATCTCACAGGCAAACGCATGTGAATATTCAATTTAAAAAATCCTTTGAAGAGTAACAAATGCTTGGAGCTCACAAGCCTTTGTAAAAGTTATCCGAAGTCGAAAAAAAATGGAACTATAGCTGAAAATAAGACTAGCAACATAATTTTACCATCCTTTATTAGAAAAGTGAAGAAAATTTAAACAAAAAAACTAGAGTGGTTTTTGAAAGTTTTTGTTTCTCTGGCAAAAATTCGCCATTTTCTGGCGCACGATTATATAACCTCCTCTTCTGAAGAAGAATTCGTAAGGCGAGAAAGTAAAAAAAAAGTGTTTGTCGTAATATTATCAATGAAAATTTTACTGTTTACGACTCAGAACAATAAATTCGTAAAAGTATACATTAACATAATTTTCCAATTCCGACACAGCTTGAATATCACCAAAAATTTGTGACTTTCTAAGATTCAAAAATATGTTGAAGACTTGGGAAGTCATTTGAGAACGCGAATGATTGAAATCCTGAGAGCTGGCTGACGAGATTGGACGTTTTCGCTCTAGAGTGCACGATACACATCGATGTGCGTCGTATTGAAGTGAACTGTCATTTTTATGCCCTCTTGCTTTATGAGTTCAAAGCTAATTTTTTATCAGAGATTATTTTTTCATTGCCGATTGCGACCATGTCATACCATTTCGGTGTCTCATAATAGCCATTCTGATTCAAAGATGTTAAATTTGCCACTAGGCCATGACCATAGGTGCACACCCGAAAAAAAAAAATTCGATTGATTTTAATGTCTACATAACGAGTCTGTAAATGCCATACGAGGTCTGTAAGTGCTGATAAGATATTTGAACGTTCAAAATTAACCCCTAAAGGTGCAAAATGTTTACAATTGTGAAGTCTAACAGGTACATGTGCCTTAGTTATGTTTTTTGAGTTATGTTTAAGATCTGAAATACTAATATATCTGTCATATCAATGTCTCTTAGGCGAGGAATAAACCTGCATAATTGTAAAATGTTTGTAAATATAGGTGAATATGTGAAGCTATCATTAAACTCACTTTTGAATATGTATTTATAATTAGAAAAGTTACTGCACGAATTCAATGACAATATTTTAACACTTGGGTACCTTCTTAGTTTCGTGTCCATCATTGTACAAGTTTTCAATAAAACGTTTTATTTTTCATGTCTCAAATATTCCTTTGGAAATATTTGACTTATGTCTCAAATACATTAAAAAATCACAATTGTAATTTAATATTACTAACATTCCAACTATTATCCTGAACAATGCTAATCTATCAATCCTAATCAGCATTTACCCCCGTCAATACTATTTACAAATATCCACAGACTATACTGAAAAGTAACTTTCACATCGCATCAATTGTTTACATGTGCCCAGGTCGGCAGATATTAAGAGAGTGATTATTTTCACCTTCGGTTAATTTTTGGCTGAAAAAAATTCATTGCCGAGACCTGATAACGAAAAAGTAAATAAATCCCGTTGCAAAATAAAGAAGAAAATCCTCTAACACATGATGTAGCCCTGTTATATGGGTGCCTCATACCTAAAAATCACTTGACGGCAAAACTCCCATCAGAGTAAGGCACTTGTCCGACCCAGATAGGGTGGTTATATGGCGTGCACGGGTTACGGGCTCTTCAGAGCAACGGCTCGCTGGTTGGAGTCTCGCCCAGAGCTTACATTTGTCACGTAACGCTTATGAATCCGTTGTCGCAGAAAACTATTTAGAGTTGGAGAAGCTTTATCGAAAATCATTTGATGTATTTCTGTTAACAAATACAATAAATACAGAAAAAGAAAACGGAAGTGTCTCTATGTTATTTTCAAATGTTCAACATTTAAACACTTTTTCAACTCTTATTCGATTTCTAACACGTATGTAATGTCACATCTATATATCATCTATTATTTATGTGCATATGTATTTACCGATTTAAGTAAACTAATGAATCTATCAATATGGAATTTAAATACGTCGTAAACACTACCCCATGACCGACTTAGGTATCCCGAATGTCTGAGTGGAAGATTTAGCTCAGGGGATCACCTGACGTCATATATGGCCTCGGATAGAGTTCTCAGTTCAAGTCTCGACGGTGACAGCATTTTTGACACTAGCCTGATAACTATTTCGCTGTCTGGAGACTAATTCTAGCGTCCGGCTGCTCTGATAGGTAGTTTTCCGTGGTTTCTCAGATCAACATTAGGCGAACACCTGAATATATCAATACGCTGTCAAAGGGGCCACGGATCGAACGCGACTTGTCTTCCCATTCCGTGTCCTGTCCTAACCCTCACATGCACTACACTACCACACATGTCGCGAGACCAGTCGTCAAGAGAGCTCGTCTCTGCTGGAGAGGAGGCCACTGGTGGGAGATTCCTTGTTGGGGAAAATCCCCGCTAGTAGACGGGAGGTCTGCCGTCCAGGGAAATGCAATCACCCCGACCTCCCGAACAAAAGACATGCTCCACACTCACGGGGCTAAAGATCTTAGCAGATAATGCGCCCGGAATCAACATAGCAGCTCCCTGTGTGCCTGTGGTCAACTCTAGCGCATAAATCTTTCAGCTGTTTTTCTCCAATATGGAAATTTCCTGATAGATCTGGACGGGCTGGAGGCTTCGGGAGTTTCTATCGGATATTTTGAGTAATGAGGTTATTTGTTACAAAATGATGGTTGTAATTCCGTGGTCCATTTCAAGTTCATTTAATGTTTATTTATTTACGGTAAAACAGTTAAAACGATAAAACGTTATTTTAAGATTTTTTAATTTTGTGGGAAATATATGCAAGTTGGTGTGAAACGTTTGCTGATTTTGGAAACAACTGGACAGAATAATTGATTTAAACAAATTAATAATAAACCAATGGGTGCTTGGTGTAAAAACTTCTGAATTTCGCCTTTTAGTTCTTTTTTGTGTCTTTTTTGTATTAATGCTGCTTTGATAGTCTCTGTAAAGGTTTAGGCTTCTTTATAAACAATTACAAGCAGTAATTCATTCTGGTGACTTTTAGTCAATAAATATAAGGCATTTGTAACAAAATTTGTAGTAAAATTGTTAGTAATTCTGTGGTCCGCCGGTTAAATTTAATTCTAAGAATTTGAAAATTTCGGCGTTGAAATGTGACTTTGTAAACAATTGCTTGCATGACTTAATTCTGGTGCTGTATGGTAAAATATACATGAATTTACATGTAATTAGCATACAGAAATCTTTGCCGGTAATGAATCATTTTGCGATTTCATCCATAAATTGTGTTTTGGTAGATATTTTTGAATTTTTTAAATTAAGTTTTATAATATTGTTAAAATTGATACTTTCATAGTAAATGTTTATGATATTTTCTGCTGTATTTTCTTTCGCTTCAGTTTGAAGCTAGCTGACCTTCGATTTTTTAGAAAAGAGCTGGCGTGATTAATTAAATTACGATAATTAATTAGTATTAAACGATGGCACGTAGTTTGTTGTGGTCCACTATGGGTGGCTAGCCTGCTTCAGAGAGGTCGCGCCGCGTCCGCCAGCGCTCGCTGGAAGAGCTGGTTCGCTCTCTACCCCACCCCGCCACCACCCCCGCCCGTTGGGCGCGTGCCGCGCCGGGGAGGTTGTGGGCCCATCGTGACGGCGGAGAATGTGTTGGTGCGTGGCAGCGAGAGAGGTGCTGGTGGCGATCGCCGTTTTTATGACTGAAATCAATGCAGTGGAGGAGACGTTGGGATGCAGGATGAGTGTTAGTGCTATGTTTTTACAAATTGTTCGAGTTCCTGGTGTTGCACAAGTTCAAATGCTTCAGACGGCGAATGAATTTCTTGCGAGAAATGCCCTTGATGGCTCAGAACCTCCCGCCTGGAGTCTAGTAGCTAGAAACCTCCCACTGTGCGGTATCAAATCTCTAGAATTAAATGAATGTAATTTAATCTTATCGTATTTAATTAGATTTGTGCATTATTTTCTTGTTATTCCTTGTAGAAATGAGTGATAAAATAGTGCTGTAACTATACGTAGAATTACAGTTTCGTTTTGTCGTTTTGCTTTGCAATATTTTCTTTGTATAATAAATACGCTGTTTGTTCGAGCTAAAATCAATGTCCATAAGCCTTCTGTTCCTTTCTAAGGAAATGTTAAAAAAAGTTATCTTTATTTATAGACAGAATCCCGAAACATTGTATAATAAAGCATCTTTTGTAAAGATTTATCATGCCTAAGAAAGAAGATACCTGTACGAGATAAATATTATTACATCTACGTACTTACCTGGAAAATTTAAGTGGTTCAGATTCTTTAAAAAGTTCAGTTCTCGATCGACAATTAAACTATAGAAGAAAAGGTCATTTTTACTCCACTTTGCCAAATATTTCATGCCGAAATATATGCCTTCTCCGAAATGCAAATCGGTGAGCATCTAGAAGAAAAAGAAATTTTGAAATTCGTAAGAAACAAATGATTGGATTAACGTATAAGTCTAAGTTTTCAGCTAATAATACTCATACCAATTTCACATAAATCACCTTAACCTTCTACTGTCCAAATTTTTAACACCTTCATCACCTTACTGTCCAAATGTTTATTTTGGTGCATGCGCGAAACATATTACATTATTTTTTGAAACACTAAAGTATCTTTACAAACTTTTTTTAAATATTTAATATTTCAACAATCCTTTGTTACCTTGTAGTAATATTGGGTGGTTGTGTTCAGAAGTAAGTCATTCTTTGGGAAATAATACATTTGTAAAAGTTGAAGCAGTTTAATTGATAGAGATACTCACTTTATTAGTAAAATGTTCTTATCTGCACAAAATAAACATATTATTTATTTATATTTTACTAGAAAATGATTATACAAGGAAGAGAATAACAACTCTTAAACTAATATATTTTGTTTGAAATTTAACAACGCAACTGGAGGGTGGCGAGGCCATACTTTGAACATTTAACTTTTGAGATTCCCTAGCAAATAGGTTTCTTGCGGTGGTCTCACCAGAAAATTTCGGCCAGTAGCCGATCTCATTCCTCCTTACTTCTTTCTCTGGAGGGATGCACGTTGGTTATTTTTCCTTTTATTTTCAATTTTGTTTTCCAACAATGATGATGTTGGTCTTCCTCTTTTCTTCTGTCGTCTTGTTCTCTATACACATACTTGAAATCTAGCAGGGATAGTTCATTTCTTATTCCTATTTTTCAAGCTTCACAATCTCTTCAGTAAAGCAGCCGTCAATTGGCGATAGTGAGATAAAAGAGAAGGATGAAAAACACAATTGGTTTAGGTCTGATTTTAGTGCGATACAGTGCTCCAGTGAATCTATTCAATCAACGCCGCACGTACATTTATTTTAAAACAGCACATCACTGGGGCATACTACTCATTCTGCCTGAAGCGGAGTCAGGTCACGTTTCATAGGTGCCCAATGGTACTTAAAGAACCCAAACATACTTTCTATTTAGACCTACTAAATTAATATTGTCCAATTCATAAGCACATATAGGGATAAATAAATCACTATTGATGTTTTTCGAGAGACATAATTAAACACTACAAACGCATGTGAAAAAACATTAATCCTGCAATGGATCACCCGATTGCCTAAAAGACTCAGTGATATCTGACGACGGAAATTCGAATCACACACAGTTCTTTTCCTAACATATTCTGCCACCACACTGTTACTTTCAAGTTACAACGATGTACATTAGTCTTCATTTATGAAAAATAAAAGGCGTAAAATAGGTTTGTTACGTCAAAGTAACAACGGGCAGTAGAGGCTTAATTGTATATCTCTGCGATTTTCCCAACTGAAAATCTTCTCTTCGGTCGCCACGAACAATGCCCGACAGTTCTCACGCCAATGGGCATATGGGTAGACGAAGCGCCGTTTTCCTGTCATGGCACGAGCCGAACTAGTTGTGTACAACTTGAGATACTCGCATATTAATGATATCGGTTACATCATATTATTACGTTCCTTCTATCCTATTGATACATTAACCATAACTCGAACTAGTGGTGCTATAACATCACATACTATCTCGCAATATTATAATTTTAGTTATGAAATATTATGTCTTAATTCTGCCTTTCTCATATTTCAAATATCACTTTATCCCATAAATAAAAGAGGGTGAAAATATATATTTTTATTCAAAATTTGGATACAATTTCTGGTATAGAATTCAGTGTTTAAGGTATTCAGTGTATTCACGAACATATCTGACTGCCAGTAGGGCCCGCTTTACGGTCTGCGGGACCCCCAAGCAGATCACATAGGTGGAGTTCCCTTCTCAGATAAAAGGTGTCACATGGGGAAAAGAAAACGTTCTAAATGGTTTGGGGACAGTTTCGCACAAACAAACAAACATTTTTTTCTACCAATTTCTATGTAACTAAAAGTTGGCAACTTATCTAGAGATGGACTCTGCGGATAGTAGAATAAAAACTTTAATGCTTTATACAACAAAGTACAAAGTACTCGTGGAAATTTTGAACGTCTGTAATATGGAATGTATTGCTGGTGATATATATATATATATATATATATATATATATATATATATATATATAATTCAGACTCACTGCACAGCTCGGTCCTCGCGTCAGGCTCAATCAACATATTTCTAGGCAAAGAGTGCATCTTCGCGCATTCGCAGCTGCGTGCGCGCCGCGAACCGAGAATTTCACAGTCAGCGTCCGTCCCCGAAAGGCACCATTCCATCCATTTGTATAGCAGTAGGTGACGGACAACCAAAACTGTTACATTAAGAGGCAAGAACAGCCCACCATAAATGACTAAGCGACTATAAATCACAAGCCAAAGAAGACTAACCCATGGAAAATCGCAGGAGCACAAGGCGCTAGAAGGTGGCCACACTTTGAAAAATACTGTTGAGGCGAGCGGTTGGCTCAGGGAGGCTGGCTTCTCCCCTCGAGATTCAACGACGATTATAGCTATACGGAAGCTGTCGATAGTCTTCAGCTATTATCTTCCCGCATCGGAATGCAGTACGGATGCCGGTCTAGAACGGTTAGGGTAACACCCACAAAGTACACAACAGGGTGTGTAGCCTAAATATTCGGCTGCCAAACATAATACGCAGTCCAGGCGACATATGACGACCTGTGACCCGCGCATCGAAAGTCGCTGTTCCGATCCCGCGGACGGCCGTGGAAGATCTCCTGCCCAGCCAGGCGACGTGTTTCCTGCCGCACTACAAGATGTCCGATGGTTCGTCCAAACGGTCATCTGCTGCCACGCCTATACTGGACGTGTAATCGCTCGGAGTGAAATATCAGAATTATAATTCATCCATTCCGTAATGTGTTAACTTTCAACTAGTTAATAAGCCAGAGTTAAAGCCCTAAATGGAATATTATGTAAAAGAGCCGACTTACTATAACAATAAACGGTCCCCGCCATTTTCGGGTGGCACACAAGAAAAATGTGTGCATTATTTAGTAGCTAGTAAGGCAAATGCAATCCATGTCGCCTATGGACGCTGCATCCCTGCAGTGTTCTGCATGGCCGTACCCAGACACAGGTAAGGCATTACGGCTTGGCGCCCACCCTGAATACAATTTAAGCCTGCTCCCTTGGTAATCTGGGAAACCAACCGTCCACCTTCAGGCGACGCGCAGCTCCTTGCCCTATGATAGTGTGATTCAACAGCGCACGGCAATAGATTGTCGCGTCGATCCATTGACTATATATATATATATCTATATATATATATATATATATATATATATATATATATCATCTCGACGTTCAACTATGAGTTTCTTAAATGTCGAGAGGTCGGAGGTCGAGATCGCTAAGGCAGTAGAGTACCGCAGTGCGCAGTGGTCTCAAACCCAAGGATTACGGGTTCGAGTCCCGCCTCAGGCATGGTTGTATTGTGTTCATCTTTTCACCCCCTATCATCATGATATCGTATCATTCTCATAGTCACCATACCGTTATACGTAATAGTGGTCGCTAATACCCAGAAGTGGATGATACTTAAATTAACAAACAAACGAAAAAAGATCTACAACGAAGGCCATATTCAACTATAGATTGTGAGTATTTTTTCGTAAACAGGAAAATAATTTGAAGTGGTGTATTCGAATTTTCAGCGTTTGGTTTGAGGCGGTGTCAGACTGTAAAAGTAATTTGAGAGGCGCAGGCAGTTGGATATTCTGAAAATTAATTCTTATTTTGTAACTTAATATTACAAATCGTAGAACATTAGGAGCGAAAATATTTGTTGCAATGTAAATGCATATTACGTAAGCGTTACAAATATTCCGTGGAAGAATATTATTTCTCGCAAGCATTTTCTCGAAGAGCAAAGTATTATCCAGGTGATTCATTTGGATTAATTGGTAATTTTAGCTCTTCATTCAGGGCCTAGAGATCGTTCTAATTACTAAGATTTATGAGGTTTATCTTTATGAATACGCGCATGGTATGGCCGACTTTTATTTTTAATTATAATTTACTTAATTTAATTATAATTATCGTTTTAATTATAAGTTACTAATGCATATAATTGTGTAAAATTTTTAATTTAATGTAAAATAATTTGAGATTCACTTTTATCTATCTGGTCACTGTGATTACGAAGTTGCAATCTAATAGGAACGGAGCGATACGGCATTAAATTCACAGAATAATTTCTCTTTGTCAGGCGGTGTTTCTAGATCAGTTTCTTATGAAAGATGGTATTGACAACCAGGACATAGTGAATGTAACAAGTGGATTTAAATTTTGGATTTTTGAGGAAATGTGAAAAGAGCTTGGAGGCTGACATTTGAATATAGAAAATAAATATTACTTGTAATATTATGTAATCATTAACTCTATTTGAAATTGCACAAAGACTATATTGATGACAGCTGTTGGTTCGCATTAATATAAGCTAATAATTTTATTTACGCCTAAAATACTCATTACACATTGTTATACACTGAATTCAATAGCAGAAGGCTTTTTTCGTTTAAACGTTTGAATTTTAAAAAGTATGTATGTTTCACTCTTTAACTCTCACTTCACTCACGATTCTTTAAGATTTTTTGAAATGCTGGACGAAATGTCAGACAAAAATTTTCATATTACAATATTACGCAACCCCTAACAATATCGCGAGAAAGTACGTGCTGTTGAGGCACATCTAGTTTCTAAATGATCTGTGTTCATTTTCAAAAAATCTAATAAGGTCAAGTTAATGTTTTGATAATATGCGTATTTTTGTAGAATTTCGCCTCAAACATAAGAGCCCGCTCCGTATTGATTACGCTTCATCTTCGGCGTCTTCCTACAACTACAATTATGAAGATTTATTTTTTCTTATTGAACTGCATTCTTCAAAAACAGGTCTTCAAATATGGTCATATGGATTTTTTTGAAAATATGTGTTGAGAAAAACA